ATTGATTGGAGATAAATCCTCATCCGACACTTCCAATAGTTGTAATTTAGTCCATCGAACATTGGTGGACGATTGGTAGAGTGTCCTTCCTTGAATTTTGAGTTTGAGTCAAAAATTAAATGCCATTTCTTCAACCTTGCTATGATACCCAATGTAGGATCTGATCCAATCACACTAAAACACTAGGGGGTGAATAGTGTTCTATTAAAAATTAATGCAAAGAATATTATTATTTGCAAAGAAATAGCACAATCAAAGAAAATAACAATCACAAACACATAATTTTATACTGGTTCCACCTTCCAGGTGTACATCCAGTCCTTAAGCAAATCCTACTTGAGAGTTTCACTATGATTTTGAAAAACTTACAAAAGTAAAACATCAAACCTAACCAATTTGTAAGTCCCTACAAATTGCATCCAATCTCTTCACCAAGAGATTACACCTCTCACACCTGAGTGAACACTTGTTTTGATACAACTTGATTCCTATAAGCCTTTATAGTATTGTGATGTGTAGCAGTGGCTAGGAATGTTTTGAATCTCTAAAAATTACCTATCTTGATTGTATATTGAATGAGGATATATTAAAGGCAAAATCAGAAAATGATTTTTCTCAACACTTAGTGAAAATCTAAATTTTTTTTTTGAAATATGCACAAAACTTGAGAATTTGACTGCTGATCTTAAAATTTTTAATCCAGGGAACTAACCCAATGATCAACCTCTAGAAATAAATTACATACAGGAAAGACCAAAAGAAGAAGAAGTGAATGAGTCAGATCTTACTTTTGAGGAAATCTTTGGTGAGGAGTTGAAGATCTTAGAAAAATCAAATCAGGTATTTCAGAATGAGAAAACTGTTTTAAATACATGCTTCTTTAACCAAACTTTTGAAGAACTCTTTGTTGATGAATTTAGATTCTTGGAAAATAAACAACAACTAAATTTTTATACCTCAACCATGAATCTTGGTGTTGAGGAAATTTTTAAAGAAAAATTGGTTGTTAGAGGTCAAACCTTCATAAAAAGGAAAAAAGACATGAAAAAAATTCTGAAAAAAAAGAAGAATTAATTTTTGATTTTATCCTCCTCATACCAAAGATAATTGTAGATTTGTATCATCATTGTTATAGGTCGACCGAACAAATATAAGTACTTTATTTTTTATATGTTTTACTTTGTGCATCATAGAGTTTGCATTGGGGACAATACAAAATTTAGGTGTAAGGGCGGGGACTAGTTATTTTTTCTCTTTATTTTTTATTTCATTTCTCTTCTTTCTATGTCAGAATTTTTATTCCTTTTCTCTTCTTTTTATGTCATAATTATTTAAATAAAAAAATATTGTCATTTACCACATTAATAGGTTAATTAATAATTGATCTATTTGATAAATTTAAAATTTCATAATTCCTAGTTAGTTTTATACTCAAGTTCATCTTTTATGATAACTCTAAATAAATCTCTTAAGAAATGATTCTCAAAATAGTATATTTTACTTAAGTCTTAACTTAGACTTTTAATTAAAGTAATGAATTTTTTTTTGCATGCTTAACTTAAAGTAGAAAATAATTTTTCAAGATGTCTTAATCTAAGTATTTTTAAATTATATATTTATATATATATATATATATAATGTATATATATATATATATTATATATACTACTATTATATTATTTTTAATTAAAAATATAGTAATATATAATATAGTATATTTATATTATATATATATATATATATACTAACTTTAATATATTATATATATATACTATATATATATATATATATATATAATTAATATATATATATAATACATATATAATATATATGACATAATATTATGGGTAAAGCTTGGTACCAACACAAAAAAGTTAATGCTTGGTAGTGAGGTGCTCATATCTCCTCCACCTCATTGCAAAATGCGACCACATTCAGATGGATAATGAGTGGATGAGGTGTGACACATCCACTAACGCAAGCTAAATTTTGTGGCTTGGTACCAAGCCGTACCCATCTCTCTCTCTCTTTCTATATATGTATATTATGCTTAATATTATATCTATAGTGAGTAATATATATATATATATAAGTATATATATATATAGGATGAGAGTAGAGAGAGAGAGAGAGGAGACGAGAGAGAGAGAGAGAAGAAATACTGTGGTCGTAGCGACTGGCAGCCTCACTTTTTTGGTGCCCTGGCACGGGACGTTTTATTTGAAAATTCCATTAGCCGATCTCTTTCGGACCACAAAAGCAAATCTCAGGTAGCTCAAAAATCCAGAATGATTCCTCTAAATCTCTCAAGCTTCCAAATGCTCTCTACTTCTACAGCTCTCCTCCCCATCCCCGATTTATCCCGCCCTCTCTCACCCTTCAAATCCTCGACTCTCACTCTCTAGTTCTTATCAGCGATTAACTAACCCCCCTTCAAAATCCTCAACCCTTCCCCCCGATTCAGAACCACGAACCGTGACCAAGAGAGGGCGGAACAGCTCCTTCGACACGCAGATTTGCGCTCAGTCTCAGCGATTAACCATCTCTCGCCCTTTTTATGAAACCACTTCATCCCTCTCCCCCTTCCCCCAATTCGACCACGAAACCGCCGACCACGAGATCTGGACAGCTACTTCGACCACGAGATCTGGACAGCTCCTCTCGACTCCTCCGACGCGAGCACCGACCACTCTCTTTGAATCGGTTCTCAGGTGAAATCCCCGTTCTTTGATTGCCTATTTTTGCTAATTTAGCTTTTTTTTACCTCCAAAATGATCATATAACAGTCATAGGTTATTAATTTAGCATAAAAGTTTGGATTTGTGGGTCTTGCTTAGTTTGTGAACTTATTAATTTGTTACCAAATAAAAATTTAAGAGAGATGCACTGCTTCCAAAATGATTATATTACAGTCATAGGTATCAACAGAAACATTGAAGAGTTAAATTGAAGAGTTAAATAAGTACTTTATTAATTCTCTGGATTGCGATGAATTTCTACCTGGAAATGCTTCTGAAGAGAGATGCACTGCTTCCATTCTTGGGGAGCTGATTTCAGCACTTACGTTCAAACAAGAAGATACTTCGTCTTGTGGCTTCACAGATACCTCTGACCACATTGTCTCAGATGGTGATATGGTTAAAACAAATGAAAAATCTCAGGTCAATTATTCTAGAAGCTGATAATCATAGGTTTCATTTGATCTCATTTAGTTATGCACAACTTATTGTTACTCTATGTAAATTATTAATGTAAAGTGTGATTTTTACAATTTGTGTTTGAGCGAGTGAAAGAGAAGTTAATTGAATCTGCCACTACAACAAAGAAATTAAGAGAGTTTTTACTGTGATTTCTTTTTAAACCACAATTTTTTAGGCGGTCCATGGCAAGAAAGAGTTTTTACATTGTGAAGAAAGGTCGACGATGTAGAATTTTTAATAATTGGGAGGACTGTAAAAAGCAAGTTGATAAATACCCAAATGCCGCATATAAAGGGTATGCAATGTACGAAGAGGCTTTGGTTGAATGAGATAAACACAGCATCGCTTGTGATTCAGCATCCAACTCAAGGCATGTCCAAACACCTTTTTATGTCCCGACCCCTGATTCTGCATCGAGCTCAAGAACTACTATTTCCCCTATCTATGCTTTTGCATTAGGTTCAGTGTTTACAATATTAGTGTTTGTAGTATGTATCATTGTCGTATTTATTTTTTTCTATATTGCAAAAATTATGTGATTGTGAGAACTTATGTATCGAGTAACTTATGTGATTGTGAGATTGTGAGAACTTATGTATCTTGTGAGAACTTATATGATTGTGAGAACTTATGTATCTGGTGTGATTGTGAGAACTTATGTATCTTGTAAGTACATATTGTGTATTTGGTGTTATTGAGTTGTTGTTATGCATAGGTTAGTGCAAAAATTTGTTCTTACTTCTTCAACTATATATGTGATTGGGGGAGAGAGAGAGAGAGAGAAAATTACAGGGGCAAACAATACAGCTTCTGAGAGAAGAAAAAGATGAGGGTGGAACAAAAGGCAAAGAGAAGTGAGAAGTAAGAACAAATTTACACATGAGATTGAGCAGGTTCTGTAGTTATCTCCAGCAATGGTTAATTGTTAGCCACAAAGATATTGGATCACTCCACCAACAAATATTGTCTTAATTGTATCAGATGTGTTCTGAGGCTGCACTCTTGTACCTAAAGTAAACCACCAGAAGGCAGAAAAGTTTGAAATATCAATTTAAAGCAAGCAGTAATGTAGTACCGATGAATTGAAATTTTAAAGCCCCTTGGCAAATTAAAATCAGAAAGTGATATTAGATGACAACACCAGAGATGATAGTTCCATTGAAATGATTAAATAGAAGTATAGAAACACGACGCGTACTCTAATCACAACCGTTGCCAGCAAATTACACTAAAAGCACCTAGAATATCATTTAGACAGAATTTTGTTTCTTTACTTCTCATAGTGCAGAAACTTAAATTTACCTGTCTCAACTAGCTCCGTGCTCAAAAATTTTCAAGTACAACATGGAACTTGCATCCAAAATGGCTGCAAGTTGAACATGCAACACAAATGAACTAGACATCCTTCAACTCACAACAAAACTAAATCATAACTATCATACTATGAGAATTTATTTAAAATCTCAAATCACAATGTAAGGAGACAAAACAGTTAACAAGACAGAAATCTACGTTGGGCGATCAAAGATCAGTTTGAGTTAAACAATACAACCAAGACAATCAAAATGACACAGCAATAATAAGCTGTAAAACATCCAAGAAATCATAGAAATTATCCTTTGAGTTAAACAATACCACCTCTATCCAAATCTTATCATCTGATTTGTAGCCAATGTCAAAGACATGGATGAGCATGATACTTACGGCGCAACAAAATGCAAGCAATCATACGTACCGTTACCCATCAACAAAACAGAATCAGTCTTAACACAATCAGTCTTAATACATAAAATGTAGTAATACATTAGCAGCTACAAGACACAATCAGCAGCTACGAGACAGTGATGAGAGGTCTTGTACAAAATGCGCATCACTTGAATCAGTTCTGCTCATGGATTGCTTGAGGAGCCAAGGCAGAGTTGTGGATGAACCTGAGCTGATTGTGCTCTTTCCTGTGTTAGTGGTAGCGCTGTAAGAGAAACACATGCACAATCAAATAAATTGTTTGTTAAAAGTTAAAAACAGAGTAAATAAAGCGTTGTTAAAGATTGATACACAAAAATGCAAGCAATCATACGTACATTAATCATGAGATATGACTTTGTGAACAAACCAATACATCCACCACCCGTGCATATGTTTAGCTGCAAATTATATGACAAATTAATCATGAGATATGACTTTGTGCTATCAAGTTTCATAAACTTATATAGGGCTAAAACTGAATAGAAACGAAAATGGTACCTTTGCAAGTTAACTTTACAGCTAGTTCTATAATGCCCGAGTTTACCACATCTGCTACATATGCGTTTCTTCCTTTCTTTCTTTTCTTGTGTCTGTTCTAAACCTGACTGGATTCTAGTAGCATTGCGTGGATGATCTTTAGTCCTTGCAGGTCTATCAGGATCACAAACTGTTATCTGAGGAATGTTCTCTATTGTATGTGAAATGGGTGCGGAAGGTTGAGGAATATCCATCATTTGATCTTGAGTTTCTCCAACTTCTTCTTCAAGTGATTCCATGAAATTTGTTAGCACATCATCAAGTTGTTGCAACTTCTCTTCTGAATCAAATGCAAGCTCGAGCACATTATTGAATTTTGCTCTTAAAGCCCAAGATTTCAATAAATTAATCTTCTCTTCACAACTGGTGATGTTTCTTCCAAATACGATGTTGCCAACCCTAATGTTACGATGCCTTGCATGTATAGTCCAACGGTGTAGGATGTAGTGGTCGGGTAATGAATCCATTTGCCTAGCCATCATTAGCGATAATATATGTCTACATACAACACCATTAGTTTCAAACAAAGCACAAGTGCAACAGAACTGCATCTGACTGGATTGTTCATAAGTAACCACCTCCCATTTTCCTCTATCTGTAAACTTACAGACCTTGTATTCAACAATGTCCCCATCTTTTCTCAATTCTTCACAGAACTCTGTACCAAATCCTTTGAATTCAGTTTGAAACACATCAAACATATTGTGTGTATACATTTCTCCAGCTTGGACCTCAATTGGATGTCCAAGGAGCATGACCGGCTTTGTGTTCAGACTCTTAAAATCTTCATGGGCTTCACTTAAGCGACGATGAGTTACTGCTTTTTCATATTGTGTCACAAACTCGTGTAATTGAGTCTGTGAGTTAACATACCCATCAAAAAATGCATTAATACTTTCACTCCTTTGGCTCGATCTCATTCCAGCAAAAAAAGTGTCCTTCAGATAACACGGCACCCAGTGTTCTCTGCATTTGTAAACTGTTTGCAACCATCCCTCCCCTTCTTCATTTATATCAAACGTCTCTTTCATCTCAACCCAATATCCTTCACATTGTTCAATTGAAGAACTATTGCACCACAAGCCCCAATACCTTTGAAACTGTTCACCATAACGAGATACCAAAGTAGGCAAATGATCAATAATATGCTTTTGCATGTGCCAATAGCAATAACGATGTCTTGTCGTTGGAAACACTGAGTGAATAGCATTACACATTGCTCTATCCTGATCTGTTATAATAGCACCTGGTTCAATGCCGTGCATGCATTTCAGCCATTCTTCAAATAACCAAACAAAGGTATCTTCCTGTTCATCGGCTAATAATGCACAACCAAGTAAAGTGGACTGCCTATGGTGATTTACACCTGTAAATGGAGCAAATGGAAGACCGAACTTATTAGTTATGTATGTCACATCAAACACAATAACATCACTGAATTGCAAATAAGATGCTCTTGATCTTCCGTCGGCCCAGAAAACACTCCTCATTTGTCCACTACTGTCTACTTCTATTGCAAAATAAAATTCTGGACATTTGCTGTCATACTCTGAAAATGTCGAATGATAGATATGCATTCATGACCAATATTGTTGACTCTTTGGGTTCTGATATGATCAATGCACTGTTGTGATGTCACAAATTCACCGTCTCTTCCATTGGTTGCATTGATAACGTGAGAAATAGTGGAAGGAGGCATACCTTCTTCTCGCAGACTATCAATAAGTTTTTTACATCTTTGAGTCTTATAGAATTGTTGATGTGATCTGTGCATTTTTGCTTTGCCTGGACTACTCAACACATGATTTGTATGTTCTTCAACAAACCCCGTGATCTCCCACGATTTGTCCTCTAATAATTTAACTCGCATCATTGCCTTACATCCCACTCGGGTTTCTCGCCGAAGAGGGATCTCTATCTTGCCACTATTAGGTTTATAGCCCTCCTTATCATAAACAAACTTTCTGTCTACCACTTCTCTAGTCTTGCGAGAGTAATTCACAGTACTCTTCCTTATTCCAAAACCCATCAACAATGCATAAGAGTTATAATAGTTATAAGCTTCTTCATGACTATTAAACTTCATTCCTAGTAGTGGTTTAGGAGCATTTACAGTATTGACCGCAGTTTTACTTCCAATAACGCTTGATTCTCCCATTCCGAACTCTACACTATTTGAATTTGTTTCCTCCATTCCAAGCCCCTAAAGAAGAAAATAAATTTCAATGTAAAGCAAGGAATGAGATGATATAACTAGCATCAAAGCTTGTAAATAAACCCTGTTTCTACACTTTTCACTTTGTTCCAATTTTGTACATTTTTTCAAAGATACCCCTCATTAATTATGTATCCGACCAATTAATTGAGAGAACCATTGACAAATTTTAAATTTGATTAAGAACCGTTTATCTGCTAAAAGTTGATGCTACTTCAAACTAGTGAAAGTTGGAATAACCGTATACAAAGTAATGCCAACTTTAACAAGGTCAGTTAGATTGTGAGTTGATAGCAATAATTAATATTAATTTACAGATCGAGAGGCTACAAATGGTTAACTGTAGCTAGCTAGCTTCAAATTGTTTTCTTTTTAATCGATCATATAACTATCAGCGAGATCACGACCTATTTTTTTTTAAATTTTCATTTGGTAACAAATTAATAAGTTCACAAACTAAGCAAGACCCACAAATCCAAACTTTTATGCTAAATTAATAACCTATGACTGTTATATGATCATTTTGGAGGTAAAAAAGCTAAATTAGCAAAAATAGGCAATCAAAGAACGGGGATTTCACCTGAGAACCGATTCAAAGAGAGTGGTCGGTGCTCGTGTCGGAGGAGTCGAGAGGAGCTGTCCAGATCTCGTGGTCGAAGTAGCTGTCCAGATCTTGTGGTCGGCGGTTTCGTGGTCGAAACGGGGGAAGGGGGGAGAGGGATTGAAGGGGGGAGATGGGTTAATCGCTGGGAGAGCGGCAAATCTCGTGGTCGAAGGAGCTGTCCGCCTCTCTTGGTCGGCGGTTTCGTGGTCGAATCGGGGGAAGGGGGGAGAGGGATTGAAGGGGGAGATGGGTTAATCGCTGGGTGAGAGCTGAGGGATTGAAGGGGGGAGAGGGGATAATCGCTGGGGAGAGAGCTGGGAGAGAGCGATTTGGGGCTGAGGAGATTTGAGATCCATCGATTTTTTTTGGGTCACGAGATTGCTTTTGTGGCGGAAGAGACGGGGAAATTTTTCAAAAAACTCCCTGCAGCGCACAAAAAACGTGAGCTGCCAGCGTACCCACAGTATTCTTATATATATATATATATATATATATATATATATATAGACACACACACACACACACACATAAAAACTAACTTTGCAAAAGAAGAGTGCGAAAAATGGGCACAAAAAAGAACTCTTGAATTCTAGGTGATTCTATTTTATAAAGCCTAAGTTGACTGAGTAATTAAGCCCAAGTAGTATTTCTATACTTAATGAGCTAAGTGTAGGCTATAAAAATTGCCTTGACTGCAGAAGAACCTAAAAACTCGCCTGTACACTTGACTCGCCTGCCCGAGTCTTGTCTCCTAAAAAGTTGATTTCGCCAGATGAAAGAAACTCACCCGTGTAATTAACTCGCCAGCACGAGTCAGGATAACGCGATCGCTGAACTTGCCTGCATAAACAGGCAATCCGCTAGGCGACCAACAAATTCGCCTCAGTACTAGGCGGCTGCAATATCACGTACAAGGATGGGTTTTCCCATCTCCCGCGACGTGAAGAGGAGTACAGTGCTCTGAACCTCTCAAACAGTCACCCACAGTACAATAAGAGGCATGACATCTCTTAACAGTAGATGGTCACATTCCATGATTCAAGGGAGCGACCACGTCATCTCTCTCCTATTTAAGGGCCTCTCCTGGGTACAGGAAAGAGGTTTGTAGTTAATTGATTGATTTAATTAGTTAGCTAGACCATTAGCTCTCAACTCCCGGCGGAGTTGACGACTGGCTCTTTGCATTAATCTTACACTGTAGCATCTCCTCTAGCTTTCAGCCTTGATCACCATTAAGCTTGGAGGTCCAAACTTGATCAACACGAGCTTCTACTACGTACTAAAGCTCACATGCAACCTTGATCGGATCGTCGAAGGGAAGCAAACTCGTTGCGAGAACTGAGCGAGGCGTCCTATCGCTACCAAAGACTCCACGTTAAACAAGGAGGGCATTCCCTCCGCTTCTGTTGTAACTTTGATTCATTAGTTTGTAACAAGCTATTCTTATCAATACACTAAATCCTCACTTTGGGAAATTAATTTTTACACCTACAGAAGATGGTGACCATAGTGGGAGAAACTGTTTCCTCAATCGAAATGGTGGTAGCGTAGTTCGACAAGGTTGCTGTCGAGACGACCGTGGAGTCCCTTTTAATCGAGTTCGACCAGACCAAGTACGAAGAGTACTTTTTTTCCTTCTCCTCTAATAGCAGTGCATCCCGCAAACGCCACAGATTTGTGTGTAGGGTCCGACCCCAAGTGGTCGAGGCCTCCATGCCTGAGGACACTATCTTAGTCATGGCAGGGAGTCCTATCTCCCCCAAACCAATCAAGGCCGAGTGGAAGGCCAAGAATACAGGGCGAAAGGTCGCCAGATGGGTCACCAAACGACCCTCACAGGCCCCTTCTTCGGAAGAGACAGTTGTTCGCCTCGGCGCGGACCATGCCGTTATAGTTCGCGCAGACGCCCCTCTCTTTAGGAGAGCCCACCAATGGCGACGACAGGCTCTCGCCCGGCAAGAGGCCCAGGCCCTTACCTCTTATGACGGTCTGAATTACTACTCAGGCCTAAAGAATGCCAAGCGGAGATACAACCCTCCCAATGCTGATGGACTCATCAAATCTGGCGATCCCTCGCGCTCGGGCGAGCTTCACTTTGATCATAACACTTCTCGTTTCGGCGAGCCTGGTACCTCTGGAAAACCTGGCCACCCATGCGAACCAACCAGGATGGACGAACCCACCAAGCTAGGTGGGCTTCGTTTCTCGGGTCATACTCCTGATTCAAGTAAACTTCCCAAATCAGGTGAGCTTGTTCGAACAAGCGAGCCAGAGAAGAAAGACGAACCCCATCAGGTCCGCCTGACGGACAGACTTTGCATGTGAACCAGACTTGGTGAAGCGGTAGGTGAAATCCATCAAGCCCGCCTGAATGCACGAACGGTTGAAACTCGTCAAGCCCGACTTCAACATTTAACCGTTCCACCCAGTGCACTCAAGGGAGTTCATTCAAAACTCTCCCATGCAATCACATGCATAGCCCTCTGATCCTGGGGGTAGCCACCAGTGACCTGCGGGAGATCTCCGGGATCATCTAGCCTGCAAGCACACCATCCGTGAGGCGAATCCTCAGTGTCACTGCGAAAGGCTTATCCAATCGGTAATCACTGACTGCCGATGTGTGGGAACGACGAGACCTTCGGTGTTCGAGAGGCTTACTCCATAGGCTCCCAGGCCGAAATCTTCCCGTCGAAGGCATAACCGCCAAACGAGGTGCGTCGTTGACGATTTGGAGCTCCCGGCTGCTATAGTTAACATGATGAGAAAGGGTAAAACTGTGCTCCTGGATTCCCCAAACTAGGATTCTTTCATGGGGCCTAACAACCCGCTCGTGCAGCGTGAGCACGATGGTATATTCTTACGTACCTGTACTCGTACAGGGGCGACCCAACCGCTGGATTATGCACTCTTAGTGTCTCCTTCGAGTGGCGAAGATGAGGTTTGCTTAGTAGGCAGCCACATCTCAGACCTCGCACTCGATTCAAGACATATTAGTGAGGGTACACATGGTGGAAACCGTGGAGGATCAAACAATTCCCAAAAAGTTTGAAGAACACCAAGCTGCCATTGAATCCATAAAGGATATATTGGAACAACTTCTAAACAAGAAGAAAAAGAAGAAAAGGGCCACCCGCACTCCGCGGAAGCCAGCAGGAGACAGGGAATGGGGACCCACTCCTAATTAGACGACTGAACTAGAAGATAACACTGATCCCCATTCGGATCACTTTTCAAAGTCGTCGGCAGGGACACAGTCCATACCCTATCGAGTGGGAAATAGTCCCCTACCCAGGAAAGTTCGATCCTATCAGTTTGGTACAATTTGATGGCAAGGGTTCTCCCTCATAGCACATCTACTACTTCATGTCTCAAACTATATTCCTCACAGGAAACAACGCCATACTCACTCGGTTGTTCATCGGCACCCTCAAAGGAGTAGCATTCGAATGGTTCCGCAAGTTAGAACCAAGCTCTATTACATCATGGGCCGACATGGAAAGACTCTTCCTGGCCCACTTCTTTGATGATGACACAGAGGTGTCGATGGCTACCCTCCTCGCTGAAAAGCAAAAGAAGTCAGAGTCGGTCAACGACTTCGTAAAGAGGTTCAGGAATCGGTCAGTTCATTGTTGAGACCAAGTTTCCGAAGCCACACTGATCGAGATGTGCCGCAATAATCTTTCGATCCACATTATGTCCAAGGTTGGCATGGTAGAAACCCGAACCTAGAAGAAACTCGTTCGCCAGGGTGAGCAAGTTGAGAATATGATCAAAAGGCTGGAGGCTGAGAAGCCTCACCCCAAAAAGGGAGCTGCAGAACCGAACGCACCCAAGAATTCTCCTCGATCAAGAGGAAAGGAGATCATGGTGGTTGACTCCACTACGGCACCCAAACCAGCCCAAAGGCCGAAGCCTAAGCCATTCGAGCAGCGCCCTCCCAGGCAATACGACTTCAAGGAGGACCAAGTAGTAGCAACCTTCGACACTCTTCTTAAAGAGCAACATGATTAAGTTACCGAAAGTCACCAAGCCTGAAGAGGTGAATAAGACCGGCAACCCGAGCTACTGTGCATACTATAGATTCCTCGGCCACCACACCTCCAAATGCTATATCCTCAAAGATAAGCTATAAGACCTCTACGATGCAGGGGTCCTAAAAAAGGAGAAAGTGTAAAAGAAGGTGACCACGAACATGATCACCTTGAGTTTCGAAACAGACCTCTTGGAAATTCAGGTGCCGGCGGGGTTGGTTCCTATCCCCAAAGCGATGCTAAAGATTACTAATGAGGA